ATTCATGATCTTTCACAGTCAGGATCGCCCACTTTGTTTGTTTTTTGTTAGTGCCTAAACATATACCTTTTGAGGGAAAAGTCGTTCACTTTTCTAGAAAAACGTTACTTACAAAATTTGATACTGCGCTTCCAATTTCTCATTCTTTTTCTTGCCAGGAACTTTGAATCCGTCCGTTGCTTCCAACTACTACTTTTGAATTTGATGCCCTTTTTTTCGTTCTTTTTTACTACTTGATTTCATTTGAAACAGCAGGTTCGGGAAAGGCCCGTTTGCTATTGTCTTCTAGGATTTGTATTGCTCTCCTGTCATTGGGCAATTGCATGGAACTGGTAACGGGTAGCAAGCATCTGATATAGTAAGTCCAAATACTGTTCTCTTGAAACTAGCTTTTACATGTTAATGAAGAAGTCCACTATTTAGAAGCCATATAATTCTGCTTTCAGAAACTCTGGAAAATTCCAACATTAATTTATTCCGTACGTGTTGGTCAACCAAGTGGAGGAGCAGCACATGAGCCATCTGCTGATGGTAAGTCATTTGGATTTTTATTCCTTGTCCCTTCACGAGCTTGTAAATTGTCCGCTTCCCTTTCTTTTACTGTCATTAAGATTGCTGTCTTGTTAATCTTGCTAATTCAAAGTTAACATAATTTAGTTTTGTTTACATAATTTGAAAATGTCAAAATCTCAGATTCCAACCAACTCAGAAGTGGCTCATATTTGGAAGCCTAGGTTCTTGTGCCCCTAGTTAGTGGGAAATTGATGTCTATGCATAAAATGTGGTAGTCTAAAAATAGAAGCGATAGAGATTATATAATATTACTGTGAATTGTCTTAGAGAAGTTAAACATGCCAATTATTTATTGGTTATAGTGCATATTTGACCAAAAAAGAGTTTTTGTTTTAAAAAAAGGCTATATGGATTTCAAAAACATTTTGGAGTATAAATTCATTAGACTATGGGATGGAAAATGGGGCTTGGAAGTATGTGGCAGCCACTTAGAACGAAAATTGAGACTTGAACATAGTCACACTATTTTAGATCATTGCTAAATATGTTTCAAATTTCATTTCCATTAAACACAGTAACCGTAACAAATCTAGTGATAGTTTTGAAACATTTATAAAGGGTTAAGGATGCTATTTTTGGGAGAATAAAATAGTCTTACAAGAGTATTTTTGTAAATTAATTATTCATATTTCAAAATTTTGCAATCAAATAATTCTCAACCCTTTTTAGTATTGGGCCAGTTTATGTACAGTTTGTTTCATTTCATGATAAACTGCTACACTAATTTAGTTGTGGAAAAAAAAATGCTTTTAAAATATTAGACAGGTAGATGGGATGAAATTTGAATCCGTACTTTTTTTTTACTTCATCTCTTGACCCGCGATGGTTGCAATGAAATCATTCTTAAACTTCTGATTAGTTTTGATTGATTTATTTCTCGGCAACGACACATTCTCTATTTCTCACCTCCATTCATCCCTCTCCCTCCCCCACCATTTTTTTCTAAATTGTCTATGTCATTTAGAGAGCATCCCTCTGCCATAAAAAATATAATTTTTTTTAATATATCGTGGTTATTGTGCCTGTACAAAAAACTAAGAACTCTTTACATTTATTGATAAATTGGGATACAAATAGCTAGAGCACAAAATGAAGCAGCAAATATGCTCCCCTAATTAGCAGAAAATTGTTGGTACGTGATGAAACGCTTAACTTTTAAAAATTTACGGTTCTTATTGGTGAAACTTTACAAGAATAGCATTGGATTGGCAAGAATGATAGACATTTAAATATACTCGCATGTATCATACTTTAGTACTATACCAATGTTGGCATTTTGTTTGACGTACGGACTTTAATATCTGTATGTATGTCTGATGGAATGCATAGTATAAGAGATCATGGACTAAAAAGGTGCTTTGCCCTGGGAGGAGCGTAGCACCTAAAGTAGTTCTCTTTATAAAGCATCTTAACAGGTCATAGTGAATTCTATACTCATCCATAACAGGGAAAGGTTATTTGAATGATTGCCTTTTAGTGTAGACTAAATTGGGATGATCTTTCGAATAAATTTCATGTTGGGTGGTCATTGTTGGGTTCTTTATATTATTTTATGTTATCCAACTGACAATATGTGGTATATGTTTGTGATCTATGTTTTGTGAGCATCCTTGCGGAAATTGACCACTTAAGTTGATTTTGTGCTCCTCCAGATAAGGGTGTGGGCCTTACACATCTTTGTGTGGATTGGATTGGATTATCTATTTTAGGTTGCTAAGGGGAATTGATACTTTATTATTATTTTAAATTTTGATGTAAAAAATACGTTATTAATTGAGTAACGGATTGTTTGAGCAAAATAGTTTTCGATTTTATTTGCAGATATTGTTATTAAGAATAAGATAAGTCAGGAAATTGGAAACTATATCTTTTTTTTCTTCTTCTTTTTGTCAATGGTTAGTGAGATGGGATAGGACAAGATAAGACACACACACAGGGGGTCCTGCGACTGATGTAACAGACGTGATACGTGAGCAGGTCTCCCACTGGTTTGTTAACACCTCCCCCAATTGGCTCTGTGATTTTGTCTGACGTTGAAAATTCAGTCCCCTTATTGCTTATAGTACCCAACTTCCTGACACAGCTCAGCTCGAGTCATGGTCGTGTCTAATGATGGATCGAGCGAATTATTATTATTATTAGGAAGATCCTGGAAATTTTATGATGATTAAATTTGAATAAATGGAGTTAACATATTCATTGTTATATTTATATTTTCTTTTTGTACTTGAAGTGGTAAAAAGTTCATCTTCACTTCTCAGGATTGGAGATTTGACATCGTATTGACGTCGCTCTCTCGCCCCGAAACAACATGTGAATTTCGATTGAACCAAACTCAAATTAGTATAAGGTACTTATTTATTTACATCACAATCTGTGTACAGTTCATTATACTTATCCAATCTACTTCAACTTATAGCAAATCATCTCGTGACACGTGGTCCAATATAGGACATATATAATTGAAAAATGACATTCATTCATGAAACAAAGCTTTTAATGGGTAGTTGGATCTTAGGAGAAAATTTTGCAACCTTATCCTGTGGAGCGTGGGATTCTATTAGGATTAGGTTCTTGGAATTGTTTGGGACCCGATATGGATTGGTTAAGAATTGGTTTAGATTTGGGACTTGGTAGGTGGTAGAATAAGAATAATGTATATTTTAGGAGGTGGTAGAATAGGAATACTGTATATTCTGGTAAAACCACATATTCGTCCATTGGCAAATTGGGATGGAGGACAGAATGAAGTGTCGGTATCAATTACTCCCAAAGGCCATTTTGTTTGCAATATCTCTGAATTCTGAAATGACTTTCCCAAAGGCCGCCTTGTTTTGCAATATGTGAATTTTAAAATGACTTTCTTGCTCCCAAGTCCATACTGCCACACCTTCTTGCCTCTCGTAGCATATGGATTGGCCCAAATAAAGTTGCTTTTGTGCGTCAATTCTATTTATGTGAATACTAACATGAAAACTATCGATTGGATTTGACCCAAATAAAGCAATTTAGATTTGTGTTCTTCGAATTAATTATTTAACTTCTAATGGTTTTGATTATTTGATTGGCCCTGTGATGAGATCTGTCAATACTGCTGTTAGTATTTATGTGAATACTAACATGAAAACTATGGATTGGATTTACCCGAAAACTATGGATTGGATTGACCCAAATAAAGCAATTTAGATTTATGTTCTTGTAACTTTGATTATTTGATTGGTCCTATGATGAGATCTCACATCGATTAGATAGGGCAATAAAATATTATTTTGAGGGAAATTCTAAAAATTACAATATCTGCTACTGGTGAGATTAAACTGTTACAAATGATATCAAAGCAAGACATAGTACACTGTGCCAGTGAGGATGTTGACCCCCAAGGGGGTGGATTCTAAGATCCCATGTCGATTAGGAATGAACCATTAAGGGTGTGGAAATCTCTTCTCACTCGATGTACTTTAAAATCTTGAGGGAAAACCCATAAGGAAAAGACAATATCTGCGGATGGTGGGTTATCGTATAAAAACCAATATGATACTATAGGATTGATCACCACACAACAGTATCATGTTCAAGTAAGAGCCTAAAAAGTGTAATATTTGGATGCATTTTAAAACCTTGAGAGAAAGTCCAAAATGGAAAGTTTAAATAGGACAATATCTGCGGCTAGTTGTGGACTATCATATAAAAATCAGATACTGTATACTACAATGATCTTGAGTATACGACCTACTCTTTTGTTATAAATGAATGATTTAATTATAATGGTGGATTAACAAAATTATCATCTTCATATGTGTGGGAAGCTAATCGTTAAAACTACTAACTACATATTTTTCCATTATGGTTGGTTTGATATTGGAGAAGCTTTGGATGATACATTTAATGATCTTTGCAGATAAAATATTTAAAAGGCTAAATAAGAAATACATTTGAACTTTAATCATTATTTTGAAGTTCCACTAATACAATCTTAAACACAAAATAATAAAAAAAAATAAAAAAAAATAAATAATAGCTTTATGAATGGAAATGATTAGTTGCATTAATTCTCTTAAGATTAAAAAAAAATGATGGTTAATGTATAGATGGAAAAGTTTCTAAATAATGTGACACATATAAAGTTAGATTTATTTATATAGTTATTCGATCCAGTAAAGTAGTATTGAAATAAAGTTTAAAATTATTAATAAATTATTTAAAATTTAAGAGTATTATTGGAATTTGGTCTAAATTTTATAAATAATGTTTATTCATATACTTAATGTAACTGTATTTTTTTTTTCACTTTTTATTTATTTATTTATTTTTTATTTTTTACAATTAAAAAAGATTATTGAAACGAATAAGACAGTTTTTTTTTTTTTTCCCTTTAATTAATAGTTTAGCGTTTTGGATGAGGATGACAATATTTGGAAGTCTATATTTTATTACCGCCAGCCGGGCGTGCGGGAATATCGAGTTTTCATTTCTATTTAGTTTTTCCACATATCTTCGAACCCTAAGTTCCCGCGGCAAATCGTTACAGGAGCACGAAGAGGAGAGGGAAATGGCTGGGATTGGACCGATTTCGCAGGATTGGGAGCCGGTTGTCATCAGGAAGAAGGCACCCAATGCCGCCGCCAAAAAGGACGAGAAAGCCGTAAACGCCGCCCGTCGGGCTGGTGCTGAGATCGAAACCTCAAGGAAATGTTTGTTCCTATTCCATCTCTCTCTTCTGTTGTCTTTCTCATATCAATATGCTATCAAGAACGTTAATCCTGCAACAATTTTTTTTTCCTTTTATGTTTCTGACATGGTTCTTGATCTTGAGTTTGAGATGTCATTATCGTGTTATTTTTGACTGAAATGGTATTCGACTGTAGTTGACATATGGAAGCGTTGCCTTAACAGGATTATGGAAGTACGAGACCTGAAAACGTTTGAGATTTTAATTGTGGAATATAGTTATATGATATCTCAAGGAATCCAAATGATCATTTGTTTATCGTGTTCAGATGATTGTTCGAATTCATAGACGATGAACTTGTACTGTGTTTCTTTGTTTGTTGAAATTTGATGCTGTCTTTCTTGTTTAAATGATTGTATGTTTTTCATTTTTGGGCCATTTAGTTCTTTCTTTCTTTATCTATGTGGTGCTCATGAAATTAATTGACTACTTCATTTCTTGAATGCTCTAAGTCCCGACCTTCCTTCGTCTTCATGTGCCCAAACTTCTTATTGAAGGAAATATTATAAACATTGTAGCATAAATTCATTTCACATATGTTCCAGAAAGAATTGAAAAAAGAAAAGAAAATCAATTTGTTCATTTCAAATTAATTTCTTGATGGGATTTGTAACCGACATTAATCTGAAATGAGCAAATTCTTTGAATGTATCTTTGAATGTTTTCTGATTTCTCCCCTTTTCTGTAGCAAATGCCGGAACGAACAAAGCTGCTTCCAGCAGTACCAGTTTGAATACCAGGAAGTTGGATGATGAGACAGAAAACCTCACTCGTGAGTACTTCAGATCCTACTTCATTGTGGAGATAAATTTACGCAGTTTCTAAATGGCAAATGATGAATCAACTTTGAAACTTGCGGTTTATTCTTTTCCCCTCCTTACCTTAACAATACTATTTCATGCTAGTGTTCATATTTTTTTGATCTCATTATTTTTATTGAGTTTATTATGCAAGTATGTTGGTGTATTCAAAAGAACATTTAATATGTGCATAGGAAGAACAGAGCATTATGTGAATTTCAAGTTGGTAGGAGCACTATTAGGATAACATGTAGGAGTATTATTAGGTTTGTAAAGGCATTGGTTTGGAAGTTACTATACTGCTTACTAGTATATGATTAAAGAGAAATTATTCTATAATTCAATAATAATCCAAAGTATATTGCAACACCGGTATTTATACTAGTGAGTCGAAGCCGAATCGGTTCCGAACAAACTAACAATCAACTTTGAATACTATCTATGAGAAGAAGCAATTGTTTGTTAACTTCGTCGTAACTTGGGATAATGTCGGTGACGAAGCTTCCCTCCATGGTTCTGTGATTCAATTAAGATATATATATCTATCTATCTAATGAAATAAACAACTTCTGGTGTATTTCAACCTCAGATGACCGGGTGCCAACTGAGCTGAAGAAGGCAATTATGCAAGCCCGTACTGAGAAGAAACTTACCCAGTCGCAGCTTGCTCAAGTATGTATCTTTGTGTTTACATGCTTTTTACCCATATTATTCTTTTTTGAGCGGACATGACAAACTTTTGTGTTGTGTTGTTTTGGTTTCTTACTTCTAGTTGATCAATGAGAAGCCACAAATCATTCAGGAGTATGAATCTGGGAAAGCCATTCCAAATCAACAAATTATCACCAAGCTTGAGAGAGCTCTTGGAACCAAGCTTCGTGGGAAAAAGTAGGAGCCCTCCTTTGGTAATGGTAATGTAAGTGGTGAATTTGGGTATAAAAGGAGCTTTGGCTTGGCTTGGCTTCAGATAATAACCTTGCTCTTGGGTTGTGATCTGAGTATGTACTGTGAATTAATTTAGCTTGTTTGTCTCATCTATCTAATCTACTTTGACTTTTCTATTCTAATGAACACTTACCTTTTCGAGTCTGTCGTTTTTGGATTAATCACTGATTATTTACATAATATTCTGTTTTTAATTTAGTTCTTAAATTACAATTAGAATAAAAAAAATTATTGCAACTAGTATAAATTGAATTTATTTTAAGTTTTGGTGTAGTTTAATTGATTACTCGAATTAATAAATTTTTTATTTTTCAAAGTCGTCTATTGAAAGATAGTCATTCACAAGTCAAATATGAATGTTCGAATTTAGTTGAAAACTATGACTCTTAGTACTCCAATATTATATATTCCAGTTTTATTCAATATTCTAATTATAATTAGTTTCTACTCTAAAATTAATACTAAAAAATCTTTTTTTTAAAAAAAGACAGAGTGATGAACCGAAATCAATCTAAATTAATTATTAACTAAGTAAAGTAATAATTATGATAAAAAGAATAAGAAAAATGTCAAATATTCTTCTATTTTTCTTAAAAAAAAAACACCGTGGGTAAATATTTATGTGAATAAATATATTTGAAGGTGGTTTAGATTTTCCCTTCAAATAAAATAGAAAGAGAGATACCACAGATAGCCCGAGTGCCCGAATACCCGAGTACCGTATAGAGAGGTACGGATCATCCTGGTCCCGATCCAGTTTCAACTTCGAAGCTCTAACTGCAGAGGCTTTACCTGGGTTTTCTTCGAATCAATCTCTTTCCGATCGGAAGCTGAACCGCAGGTACTCGTCCGTCGTGGATTCTTTTAATTCTTTCTTTTGGCGCGCAATTCGATTATATTGTAGGAAGACTTTGCTCGAATCCTTGTTATAGAATGTATGCAATGAAGACGGAACAAGAGTAATCGAAGATTTTGGATCCTGCTGGTTTCAAAACATGTTTGATTGAATCTGCTGAATTTCATTTCTCTTTCTAAGGTTTGTAGGACTGAATTTTGCTCAATTCCTTTGGAGAATTTGAAATGATTGCTGAATGTTTGGAGAATCTCATCTGTGATGCCGGAGAATTGCATAAATAATTGGTTCCTTTTCAGTTGCGTACTCAAATCTGGTTCTACTTTAAAATTTTCCTAATCCTCCTATCGATTACGCTCTTCCTTGTTTATTGCTCTTTTTTTCTGAAATTTCTTGTGATTTTGTGTTGAATTAGGGAAAAATCGGAGAAATCGATCAGAAAGATAATTTCTCGTGATTTTTAAAGTTGAACTAAAAATTTGAGCTCATTTTTTGGCTGATTCTGATGTGCAGGATTTTATCCGATTGAGAATCAACCGAGTGGGCAGCTTATCGACTTCTGTTCTGTCGGCATGGCTGTAAGCTAAATATCTGTTTGGCTGAATATCGTTCCTGTGGTTTTGCATCCTTTGCTGAAGACTTGTAGCCTGACGCATGGCTTTGCTTGATGTCACAAGGTCATGTCTTGATTCCATTAGCCAGGTAAATTTGATTGAATAAATACTTTTTTATCTTTTTTAAATTTCTAACTTCTGCAAACCCTTCATTTCTAGTAATTTTTCAGTCATTGATGCTGTTTCAGCTCCCCATATTTCTGGCCGAGTGTTTGTCTTGGAAGTTTGCATTTCTCATTCTAAACAATGAAGGAGTTCTATATTTTTCTTTATGATTTGATTATTAAGTTGTACTTTGATGCATTTTCTTTCTTTATGATTTGTAGTTAGTGTTAGACTCCTATTTTTTGCTACTCGTTTTCTTACATTTTTTCAATTAAAGTTCGGTTTCTTACCAAAAAAAAAAAAGAAAAGAAAAAAAGATCATAATCCTTGCATCCCAGGTGCCCATTTGCTTCACTGTCATTACTACTGAATTAAATGATACTTTTTGATACCAGCACTTAAGGATTGTAAGTTACAAAAAGGAGTTTCTTGTTTGTTGATTAACCATGCTTGATCGAGTTCTATGTGTCTTCTTTCTACCAGTTTATATAACTTCGTCCCACTGTTTTGACAGATATCAGATCACCTTGAGGGTTCCATACTGTATCTTGATGCTGGGTGTGTGGAGAGTTTCCAAATTCTTGGGGGATTACCGTTATTACTTGACCATGGTGTCCAAGTTGTCTGCAGCTTGGAAAATATGACTTCTCTTGATGCTGTAAGATAGTTGTTCTTGAGGTTTTACAAAAGGTTAAATATTGCTCATCTTGTTTTATTGATAGTTATTATTCTTATTATTATATCATCCTGAAATCAAAAGGTAGGCATACAACTTTCAAGATTAATAATTTAACAAACAGGAACTTAGTGGTTGATGCAAATAGACTATTCATGGTTCAATAGGTTGCATTTATTTGATTATGTAAAATATTCTGATATCCCAATGTAGTTTTATCATAAATCTTGATCTTGGGAACCTTTTTAAGGTGATTGGTTGGAACCTGGCTTCTGCAAAGAAACTTGTGGTGTTTACATCCCGGCTTCTGAGTGATGCACATCGTTATATATTACGCTGCCTGACTGCACATCAAGGTGTTCGCCATTGTACCATATTTACATCTATCTCAGAGGTGCTTCTTTTAAACTGCTTATTGTGATTCATTTCCCTTACGCCAATCTTGTATTTGCTTTGAATGTGAGGTAGAACTAGGGTGCTATAACTGTGAAGACTTTGAACATACAACCGGATCCAAATGAGTAATTTTGATTAATAGCTGTTGTTCAATCAATGAAATACTTTGCAGGTTGCACACTCGGCATACCCCGATTCACCTCTGGGACCAGATGCATTCCATGAGTATGAATCTTTACTTGTTCAGGACTATGAGGAACTTGTTAAGAAAGGTGAAAAAAAAGTTGTGCTGTCGGAGGATAGGAACTCGGTAAAATATATATCCTCGGAGGATGAAGGATGGTCGCGACTCACTTCAAGTGAAGAGGACATCACTCACGTAGAAGCTAGTTCAAGTGGAAGAAATTCATACGAAGGCATTCTGACGAGTCACCGAGAAGATGTAGGGCAAAAGCTCGTTGTTTCTGTGCATCACTTCCCAATGATTTTGTGTCCGTTTTCACCCAGAGTTTTTGTGTTGCCTTCAGAGGGATTAGTTGCTGAAGCATGCTTATCAGCAGAAAGTGTGGATTCCCTTAGTCCTGGTTTGCCACCCTTATATACTGGGATGCCTCCTGATGGCGATGATATTCCTCCTGGGGCAACTCTTACTGCACATTTTCTTTACCATTTTGCTGCCAAGGTAATAACTCTGTTCATGGTTGAGTGAAAAGTGTTCCCTATTCTTGTTCATCTTCATGGCTTTTATGTCCTGAGCTTCTATGGAAGTATGTTTTATCCGTCTTTCGCAAACAACATTAAAAAGGCCCTCCTTGTTTACATCCAACTGAATTTTGTGTTTATCATTTGTGCCTAAACTTTTGAAGTTTAGAACTAGATGCCTTAGTATGACTTTAACTGGAATTTTGTCAGCACTAATGGTATTTTCCATCTGATATCTATTTCATTTCGAATATGTAGTGTATTGGTTCCCTCCCATCATAGTTGTCTTCGGTCTTTGAATAAATAGATTAAAACCATTGATTCATATTCGAAGATTCAACGATTTCTTTGGCCCTTTTTCCAGATTGAGGGATTTTTTCTTTTTTTTTTTTAAATCATGGGTTTCCAGCTTGATATTTCTCTTCATTGCCACAAGAGAATTTCTGTACTTGCAATGTGGACGCTATTTTGAAAAAGGAAGTAAAATTTGACTAATCTATAATAGAAATTCTACTAATTTACCAGATGACAAGAAATTTTTGGTTAATTATTACATAGACGTGGAGGATCAGTTTATGCTTTTCCTTATAATAGTGGCCATGATTCTTCTTTCTGAATAATGTAGATGGACTTGAAGATGGAAATATTTTCCATTGGTGATATGTCAAAAACCGTTGGAAAGCTTTTGACGGATATGTCTAGTCTTTATGATGTAGGCCGACGCAAGAAATCAGCTGGTCTCCTATTAGTCGATCGCACTCTTGATCTTCTTACTCCCTGTTGTCATGGAGACTCACTTGTAGACAGCATGTTTTTGTCATTGCCACGCAGAAAAAGAATGGCACCTGTTACCCATGCCAAAGGTCCAGAAGCGTCCCTCAAACACGAACCACGTATCTGTAGACGAGCACCTCTTGATGTTCGGATACCATTTGCAGAAATTCTTACTGAAGATGGAGGCAAAGCTGATAAATTTCGGCTTGGAGCAAGGATTGAAGCTTTTCTGTCTGGTTGGAATTCTGGAAACTCAAGTTCCCAAAATTTTGATAAGAGTGGTGAAAGCAACAGAGATCAAAATCTGCAATCACCAATATATGACCCTGAACTACTTAGTGGTTGTTTTGTCTCTTCCGAGAATTTTCGAGGAACTCCGTTCTTGGAAGCGATACTAGATAGGAAAATAAAAGATGCAACTGTGCTGATAAAGAAGTGGCTACAAGAAACTATGCGCAAGGAAAGCGTTGTTGTGAATGGGAAAATTCGTGCTGGGTTTCCTACCAAATTGGAGTTGGAATCTATGATCAAGGCATTGGCTAAAAGCCAGAGTTGTTTGTTGAGAAATAAAGGTGTTCTTCAGCTTGCAGCTGCCGCAACAGTTGCGATCGAGGAATCAAACCGAACACGGTGGGATGCCTTTCGTAGTGCCGAAAAAGTATTGCGAGCAAGTGCTGAAGATACTATCCAGGGTCTAGCTGCACAAATTGTTGATCTTATAAACAAAAGTGTTTTGGTGGGTAAATCTGAATCTTCAAAGGGCGTTCTTTCATTTCAAGATGCTTTGCTTCTTACAATTACTGGTTATATACTGGCTGGAGAGAATTTCCCAACATCTGGGTCCGATGGTCCTTTCTCTTGGCAAGAGGAGCATTTCATGAAAGAAGCTATTACTGATGCAATTTTGGAAAATCCAGTGGGTGGAGAATTGAAGTTTCTCCATGGTTTAACAGAAGAGCTTCAGACAAACCGAGATAGGATCAAATCGAAGGGAACAAAAGCTATGTCATTGAGCGAAATAAAAGACGAC